ATTTGAACAACTTAGAATCTACACTACCCCAGGATGCTTCCACATAAGTTTCAGCCTTTCTGTTCCAGTGGTTCTTAAGAAGAAGATTTTTAAAGATATTTTCTGCATATTTCAATGTAAAACTAGGATTCCCTATTGTGGCCACACCCTTCCCCTGGGGATCATGATTTGAACAATTTAGAATCTACACTACCCCAGGATGCTTCCACATAAGTTTCAGCCTTTCTGGTCCAGTGGTTCTTAAGAAGAAGATTTTTAGAGATTTTTACTACATATTTCAACGTAAAACTTGGATTCCCTATTGTGGCCCTGCCCTACCCCCAGGGGTCATGATTTGAACAATTTAGAATCTACACTACCCCAGGATGCTTCCACATAAGTTTAAGCTTTTCTGGTCCTGTGGTTCTAGAGAAGAAGATTTTTTAATGACCCCACCAAATTTCTGTATTTTCTTGATTATCTCCCCTTTAAATGAGACTTGGCCCTTCATTTTAACAATTTAAACTTCCCTTTACCAAAGGATGCTTTGTACCAAGTTTGGTTAAAATTGGCCCATTGGTTCTTGAGAAGAAGTGGAAAATGTGAAAAGTTTACAAGAAACTGCTTCGCGGTTTATAAAGCGTAAACTGCCCCAACCCAGTTTATACCCTATAAAATGGGTAGCTATTAAATTCATTCCTTAAATGAGGAATGGTTGTATAAAGTCTAGAAAAGTTGCAAGATTTGATGTTACTGACTTTTGAAAAAAAATTGATGATTTTAAATTTTCTATAAGTTCTTTTGAGTTTTTGAGAATTCTCATCTGATTTTCACCACTTCTAGAATAAGCGGTAGCACAGTATGACTGAAGTTTCTCCTTAACAGCAGTTAATATTTTTGTAAGGAGTAAGGATAGGGGCTTAGTAAAGCAATTGCTTGACCCTGCAATGTATCTTTGTTTGTAAGGATTTTTAAGAAGTTTAGGAATCCAATATAGGTACATGTAGGGTAGATCAAACTCACTTTGGATGACTGGAATGTTAAAAGTTTTAAATACTGAAATGTGATATTAAAGGATTTCATCTTTAGAAAGTGAACTGTGAGTATAAGTGGGATTTCCAAAAGTAGAATTAAAACCAAGTTCTTTTAAAATACAGTTATAATAGTAAGCCTTCTGGCCTATTCTTGGGAATGGACCTGCTCCAAAAACTTTAACCTGGTCACTTTTCTGAAAAATGTAGGTCAAATCCAGCATCTGAAGCATCTCTGGTAGTGTACATCAATAAATGTATCTTTAGTGCAAAGTTGGTTAGCATAGGGCCTATAACCACTTTCTAAAGAAACTGCTCCAAAAACTTTAACCTGGTCACTCATCTGGATAATGTACAGTAAACATCTTTTATAACGTATCTCAGGGGACTGTGATAAATCCTACGTTATAACCGGTGTACGTTATAAGCGGAGACCGGAAGTACTCAGTACACCTTTACCGTAAACAGTTTTCAAACTGCTAGTGTGTTATTTATATTTTAAAGTATGTATACATTGTAAATGATTTACAAGTATATTTGGTTTCGTTTCTTATATAAAGAAAGATTAATATTCAGTAACATTTTATTTATTTATCGTCAGATCATATAAAAAGTCCATAATGTTTGTCTGTTTGGCCTGAGGACATTTATTTACAAAAGTCTCCAGAGTTGCCAGAGTCCTGAAAACTTCAGACTAATGCCCTTTGATCATCTCGGTAGATGGTATGCACGTGTCAGGCACGGCCTCATCGTCCTCGCTGTCGTCGCGGTCTACTGATATTGAATCACTGTATTTTCCTTTCACTTGTTTAATTATATCATTTTCGTCTATATTGCTATTTACTGACTCAAAGATGATTTTTTCTTCAAAAAATTTATTATGAATACATCTACTCGATGAACTTTATTCAAACAATTTATTATAAATACGTCTACCTGAAACAACAAAGAAACCTTGTTAGAAAAACACCCATTACGGAGAAGCTATGAAGTCAACAAACCGTGACTAATCCGCAGTCCCTGAGCTGATAGAAAAGGTGTGAAACCATGTGTCAGAATACGTTATAAGTGGTGTAATTATGTAACGGGACCAAATTCCTAATACTTTATAAGCGATACTACGTTATATACAAATACGTTGTAAGCAGTGTTTTTTCCAATCTTATATATAAACAACTTTACCGGGACCACAGAATGGCTACTTTACATCCGGAGATACTTTATAACCGAGTACGTTATAAAAGAAGTTTACTGTAATTCAAATTTAGCACCTGAAGCAAGTCCAGTAGTGTCATCCTTAGATGTAACATCCATGCAAGTTTGGTCAACACAGCGACTTTAAAATGAACCTGCTCAAAAACTTTTAACCTAGTAACTCATCCGCAAAATGTACCGTAGGTCAGATCCAGCATCTGAAGCTGGTAATGTGCATCCTTAGAAGTATCATCCATGCAAGTTTGGTTAATATATAGTTTTATAGTTACTTGGAAATGAGACTTGCTCCAAAAACTTTAACCTGCTTCAAAGACAATTACCTGGTCATTCTTTAGCTGAAACTGCAGCATCTGAAACCTTGACTGGTAAAATAAAACATACTAGAAACATCTTCCATGTCTGATTAAGGTAGGGCATAGTAGTACTTGAAAAGAAATCTGCTCCAAAAACTTTAACCTGGGATGCCAACGCCAAGGGTATTACATAAGCTCCCCTCAACTTCATTGAGGTGAGCTAAAAAGTACTATTACCCTACTATGTTCAGAAACCATGCCCTCTGAGTAACATTACATAGCAACGGTTGAAAATGCATGATAACAGGTAACAGTATGAAAATTGTTAACTGCTCAGAATGTTTGCAAATATGGTTCACCAAAGTTTTCTTTAAAATGTACTTAAATCCGTAAAGTATAACAAAAAAATAACATTTAACTTAACTTGTGAAATTGTTATCCCTTAAAAGCCATTGTGGACCTTAATTAGCTTTTCCTCAGTTTGCATTATGGTTTTTGCAGGATAACAATTTCAATTGTTACCCTAAACAAGAGGCCCATGGGCCACATCGCTCACCTGAAAAAAAAAGCAAAAATCAGTACAGTATTGAAAAGTTTACAGGGAGGGGGGTTGTTGAATTTTAAACTACCTGATGATGCTTTCATATCAATACATATCAATATAACAAATGGCTTTGTTGTTCTTGAGCAGCAGATTTTTTTTCCCATATATTCATTTGTAAAAATTTGATCCCCCATTGTGGCCCCACCCTACCCCCGGGGCCCTCATTTGAACAAATTTCATTCTACACTACCCAAAGATGCCTCCATATCAATTTGACTAATCATGGCTTTTCTGTTCTTGAGAAAAAGACTTATTCCTATAGATTCCTCTGTAAACTTTGATCACCCATTGTGGCCCCAACCTATCCCCGGGGTAATGATTTGAACAAATTTGAATCTTCCCTACCTGAGGATGCTTCCATATAAATATGACCAATCATGGCTTTACTGTTTTTAAGAAGAAGATTTTAGAGATATTTTCCTATATATTTCTATGTAAAACTTTGATCCCCAATTGTGGCCCCACCCTACCCCCCGGGGGTCATGATTTGAACAAATTTGAATCTTCACTACCTGAGGATGCTTCCATATAAATATGACCAATCATGGCTTTACTGTTTTTAAGAAGAAGATTTTAGAGATATTTTCCTATATATTTCTATGTAAAACTTTGATCCCTCATTGTGGCCCCACCCTACCTCTGGGGGTCATGATTTGAACAAACTTGAATCTTCACTACCTGAGGATGCTTCCATATAAATATGACCAATCTTGGCTTTACTGTTCTTAAGAAGAAGATTTTTAAAGATATTTTCCTATATATTTCTATGTAAAACTTGGATCCCTCATTGTGGCCCCACCCTACCTCTGGGGGTCATGATTTGAACAAACTTGAATCTTCACTACCTGAGGATGCTTCCATATAAATATGACCAATCTTGGCTTTACTGTTCTTAAGAAGAAGATTTTTAAAGATATTTTCCTATATATTTCTATGTAAAACTTGGATCCCTCATTGTGGCCCCACCCTACCCCCGGGGGTCATGATTTGAACAAACTTGAATCTACACTACCTGAGGATGCTTCCATATAAATATGACCAATCATGGCTTTGCTGTTCTTAAGAAGAAGATTTTTAAAGATATTTTCCTATATATTTCTATGTAAAACTTGGATCCCCCATTGTGGCCCCACCCTACCTCTGGGGGTCATGATTTGAACAAACTTGAATCTACACTACCTGAGCATGCTTCCATAAAAATATGACCAATCATGGCTTTGCTGTTCTTAAGAGGAAGATTTTGAAAGATATTTTCCTATATATTTCTATGTAAAACTTGGGTCCCCCATTGTGGCCCCACCCTACCCCCGGGGGTCATGATTTCAACTAACTTGAATCTACACTACCTGAGGATGCTTCCATATAAATATGACCAATCTTGGCTTTACTATTCTTAAGAAGAAGATTTTTAAAGATATTTTCCTATATATTTCTATGTAAAACTTGGATCCCCCATTGTGGCCCCATCCTACCCACGGGGGTCATGATTTGAACAAACTTGAATCTACACTACCTGAGGATGTTTCCACATAAGTTTCATCTTTCCTGGCCCAGTGGTTCTTGAGAAGAAGATTTTTAAATGATGCCATTATTTTTTCACTAATTCCTAATTATCTCCCCTTGAAAGAGAGTGTGGCCCTTCATTTGAACAAACTTGAATCCCCTTTACCCAAGGCTGCTTTGTGGCAAGTTTGGTTGAATTTGGCCCAGTGGTTCTTGAGAAGAAGATGAAAATGTGAAAAGTTTACGACAACGAAGACAACAACGACGACAGACAATGGACAAATTTTGATCAGAAAAGCTCACTTGAGCCTTTGGCTCAGGTGAGCTAAAAACCATGCAATAATTTAATGATAATAAAATGTAATGGAAACTTACTATAGCAGTTCCTATTAAAATACATTGGTTCCTTTCTCTTGCCTGGCACAACCTCCTTGTGCTGTATTAGATGATAGTAGAGGCTCGAGGTTCCTGACTTTGGCATACCAATAATCATGAAATATGGAAGACATCTTATAGTATTGTATCCACTCTCACATTCCTCATAGCATGGATTTTTTAGGTATGGAAGATACACAAAAGTACTCTGCAAGTAAGTTTAAACTCAACATAACAAAACATTCACAACTCATTTCTTAAGAGTTGTCAAATCAATTTCATGTGAAATGTCAGTTGGTAGATTTACCAATTATGATGAAACATGGATGTAGTAAACCCTTGCAAAGTGCTATTTTTTTCAATCATAAACTTAATTTTTTTTACATATTTTTAAATTTTGAGAAAAATGTTTGCATATACATTTTTCCATATACAGTTGAACTTCAGTATCTTGACGGATATCTCGAATACTAAGGAGTGATTGGGAAGTCCTAACCACATAATTCTTAAGTATTTTACCCTTGATATCTTGGATATCTAGAAGTTTTTTCTCGGTCCCAACAAGTTCAAGATAACAAGGTTTGACTGTATGTCAAGATTATCAAAGAAGCATGCACGTACATGCCAAATGTGGTAGAGTAAACCATGAGAAATACTCCAATGATTGCTTCTGGCCCTTAATCATTTTATTGTTTTACTGGTGTTTCATTAAATTTTTGTTCTGGTGTCCTTTGTTTTTTTTAACACTTCATGCCTCACAAACTTCATGCTTTTGCTTGCAACTTTTGGGAAAATCTTTTACCTTCCATTATTAAAGCTAATCTTTACTGTCTCTTATATTGCAAAGTTAAAATGAATGTCCTTATAAAATCAAATCCCTTAAATTACAGTATATACTTGTGTATGACAGATTTTTGGTACAAATCTCTATGTCCAACTTGTGGGCAAGTCCTAAAGACATTGGAATTTTTTTCTGGACAGCAAAATGTAGTGTTTATATTCAACCTTGATGATTATTATTTGAAACTGATTTGTTTAGAATGACAGATTAAATATCAATGTCAATTCCCAAATTATTAATTGAACACAAGTAAATACATATGAGTATTGATATATAAAATTATTTTGTTGAAAATATATGATAAAATATGCAATTAATGTCATTTTCTAAAATATTATATAAAACACAGGGGAAACAAGATGTGTTTGTGAAACATTGATGCCCCGTATGGCAGCTTATGGCGAAGGTTAAATTTTCTCAAAATCCAGGCCAAAAGATAAACAAGAGGCCCATAGGCCACATCGCTCACCTGAGCACATTAGCAAGGCAAAAGCACAAATCAGTTCAGTATTGAAAAGTTTACGGGGGGGGGGGGGGGGGGGGGGGGGGGGAAGGGGGGGGGAGGGGGGGTCTTGAATTCTAAACTACCTGATGATGCTTCCATGTCAATATATAATTTGTTTTAACAAATGGCTTTGTTGTACTTGAGAAGATTTTTAAAAAAAATTCCCATATATTCCTCTGTAAAAATTTGATCCCCCATTGTGACTCCTCCCTATCCCAGGGGTCATCATTTGAACAAACTTGAATCTACACTACCTGAGGATGCTTCCATATCAATATGACTAAACATAGCTTTTCTGTTCTTGAGAAGAAATTTTTTTCTATATGTTCTTATGTAAAACTTTCGATCCCCTTATTGGGCTCCACCCTACCCTCGGGGTTCATCATTTGAACAAAATTGAATTTACACTACCTGAGGATGCTTCCATACCAAAATGACTAAACATGATTTTCAGTTCTTGAGAAGAAGATATTTTCCTATATGTTCCTATGTAAAATTTTCGATCCCCCATTATGGCCCATCCCTATCCCCTAGGGTCATCATTTTAACAAACTTGAATCTACACTACCTGAGGATGCTTCCATATCAAAATGACTAATCATGGCTTTGCAGTTCTTCATCAGAACATATCTTCCTATATATTTCTATTTCAGACTTTTATCCTCCATTGTGGCCCCACCCTACCCCAGTGGGTCATGATTTGAACAAACTTGAATCTACACTACCTGAGGATACTTCCACATAAATATGATCAATCAGGGCTTTGCTGTTATTGAGAAGAAGATTTTTAAAGGTTTTTCCTATATATTTCTATGTAAAACTTTGATCCTCCATTGTGGCCCCCCCCTACCCCCGGGGGTCATGATTTGAACAAACTTGAATCTACACTACCCGAGGATGCTTCCATATAAATATGACTCATCATGGCTTTGCTGTTATTGAGAAGAAGATTTTTAAAGATTTTTCCTATATATTTCTATTTAAAACTTTGATCCTCCATTGTGGCCCCGCCCTACCCCCAGGGGTCATGATTTGGACAAATTTGAATCTACACTACCTGAGGATGCTGCAATATAAATATGACCAATTAGGGCTTTGCTGTTATTGAGAAGAAGATTTTTAAAGGTTTTTCCTATATATTTCTATGTAAAACTTTGATCCTCCATTGTGGCCCCGCCCTACCCCCAGGGGTCATGATTTGAACAAACTTAAATCTACACTACCTGAGGATGCTTCCATATAAATATGACTCATCATGGCTTTGCTGTTCTTGAGAAGAAGATTTTTAAAGGTTTTTCTTATATATTTCTATGTAAAACTTTGATCCTCCATTGTGGCCCCGCCCTACCCCCGGGGGTCATGATTTGAACAAACTTGAATCTACACTACCTGAGGATGCTTCCATATAAATATGACTCATCATGGCTTTGCTGTTATTGAGCAGCAGATTTTTAAAGATTTTTCCTATATATTTCTATGTAAAACTTTGATCCTCCATTGTGGCCCCGCCCTACCCCCAGGGGTCATGATTTGGACAAATTTGAATCTACACTACCCGAGGATGCTTCCATATAAATATGACCAATTAGGGCTTTGCTGTTCCTGAGAAGAAGATTTTTAAAGATTTTTCCTATATATCTCTATGTAAAACTTTGACCGTCCATTGTGGCCCCGCCCTACCCCCAGGGGTCATGATTTGAACAAACTTGAATCTACACTACCTGAGGATGCTTCCATATAAATATGACTCATCATGGCTTTGCTGTTCTTGAGAAGAAGATTTTTAAAGGTTTTTCCTATATATTTCTATGTAAAACTTTGATCCTCCATTGTGGCCCCGCCCTACCCCCAGGGGTCATGATTTGAACAAACTTGAATCTACACTACCTGAGGATGCTGCAATATAAATATGACCAATTAGGGCTTTGTTGTTCTTGAGAAGAAGATTTTTAAAGGTTTTTCCTATATATTTCTATGTAAAACTTTGATCCTCCATTGTGGCCCCGCCCTACCCCCGGGGGTCATGATTTGAACAAACTTGAATCTACACTACCTGAGGATGCTTCCATATAAATATGACTCATCATGGCTTTCCTGTTATTGAGAAGAAGATTTTTAAAGGTTTTTCCTATATATTTCTATGTAAAACTTTGATCCTCCATTGTGGCCCCGCCCTACCCCCAGGGGTCATGATTTGAACAAACTTGAATCTACACTACCTGAGGATGCTTCCATATAAATATGACTCATCATGGCTTTGCTGTTCTTGAGAAGAAGATTTTTAAAGGTTTTTCCTATATATTTCTATGTAAAACTTTGATCCTCCATTGTGGCCCCGCCCTACCCCCAGGGGTCATGATTTGAACAAACTTGAATCTACACTACCTGAGGATGCTGCAATATAAATATGACCAATTAGGGCTTTGTTGTTCTTGAGAAGAAGATTTTTAAAGGTTTTTCCTATATATTTCTATGTAAAACTTTGATCCTCCATTGTGGCCCCGCCCTACCCCCGGGGGTCATGATTTGAACAAACTTGAATCTACACTACCTGAGGATGCTTCCATATAAATATGACTCATCATGGCTTTCCTGTTATTGAGAAGAAGATTTTTAAAGGTTTTTCCTATATATTTCTATGTAAAACTTTGATCCTCCATTGTGGCCCCGCCCTACCCCCAGGGGTCATGATTTGAACAAACTTGAATCTACACTACCTGAGGATGCTTCCATATAAATATGACTCATCATGGCTTTGCTGTTCTTGAGAAGATGATTTTTAAAGGTTTTTCCTATATATTTTTATGTAAAACTTTGATCCTCCACTGTGGCCCCGCCCTACCCCCGGGGGGTCATGATTTGAACAAACTTGAATTTACACGACCTGAGGATGCTTCCACAGGAGTTTCATCTTCCCTGGCTTTGTGGTTCTTGAGAAGAGGATTTTTAAAAGGTGCTACTAATTTTTCACTAATTCTTCATTATCTCCCCTTGAAAGAGGGCGTGGCCCTTCATTTGAACAAACTTGAATTCCCTTCACCCAAGGATACTTTGTGGCAAGTTTGGTTGAAATTGGCCCAGTGGTTCTTGAGAAGAAGTCGAAAATGTGAAAAGTTTACAGACGGACGGACGGACAGACAGACAGACAGACAGACAGACGGACAGACGGACAGACGGACTACAGACAAAATGTGATCAGAAAAGCTCACTTGAGCCTTCGGCTCAGGTGAGCTAAAAATGTTGGTACCCAAAGAAAGGCCTTTTCTCGAGGAATATACTTGTGAAATTTGAAAGCCCTAGCTGCAACTGTTCAAAAGTTATGGTGAAAGTTAAAGTTTTTTTAAAGTAAGTAAAACGTCAAGGTCAAAGTTGTTGGTATCCAAAGGAAGGTTTTGTCACAAGGATTACATATGTGAAGTATGAAAGCCCTAGCACCAACCATTCAAAAGTTATGGCCAAGGTTAAAGTTTTTCAAAAGTAGGTCAAACTCCTATGTCAAGGTCAAAGGGTCAGAGTGGTTGATATCCAAGGGAAGGTCTTGTCAAAAGGATTACATATGTGAAGTATGACAGCCCTAGCACCAACCGTTCAAAAGTTATGGCCAAGGATAAAGTTTTTCAAAAGTAGGTCAAACTCCTAGGTCAAGGTCAAAAGGTCAAAGAGGTTGATATCCAGAGGAAGGTCTTGTCACAAGGAATACACATGTGAAGTATGAAAACCCTAGCACCAACCGTTCAAAAGTTATGGCCAAGGTTAAAGTTTTTCAAAAGTAGGTCAAATTCCAAGGTCAAGGTCAAAAGGTCAAAGTTGTTGGTATCAAAAGAAAGGCTTTGTCACAAAGAACACACATGTGAAGTTTGAA